TACTACTACTACTACTACTACTACTACTACTACTACTACTACTATTGTCACCTTTTTCCTGATAACATCTTTACAATAAGAATGGTAAGAGGTGAGAGTTATTTGTTAGGAATCTTAAAATTGCTTCTTACTTGTGGAATCTTGTAAAGACTCAGAATGTCTGCAATATAGTAGGAGGTATCAGTGCCAAGTCCCCCAATGACACCCACGAGCGTTTTCATGGTGTCACATTTATAGTTGGGGACAAATCTATCCGAACTGAAGAGTAGGTCCAAAGTGGTCCGATAGGTCATCATTCCATCATAGTAGCTGTCATAGATGTGGAATCCAAGGGTGACATTGTTCAGGAATCTGGGATTCTCATTGATCTCCTTCACCGCAAATACCAAGGCAAGAACATGCTGATAGAATTTGGTTACTGCTCTGCTGACAAAGTGATTTAGATTAAATTATTACTTTAGGAAGTGCCTTTTTTTAACTGTTTATTTATTATGTCTCTTGGCATAATTTCCATCCTGTAGTGGAAAGGCAATGTTGAAATCACTTGTGTGGATTAGTAAATTATTAGTCTCAGGTTAAGCATAAGCCCCCCAAACCCAAATGCAATTATTTTTGATTATTTATAATTTTCATCTAAAACCTTTGGAATGCCTACAAACCCTGACAATAGTGTACATTTTTTAAAAAGGATACATATTTGCAAAAGATATGCCAAACAAACCAGGAAGAATGGAAATGAGTTGCCTAATAACATGTGATTCTGCACAATCCATTTGGTGAAAGGTCACTTAAGTTTGCCTCAATAGTCAATAATCTCAAAGGGATTATTCCAAAATGAGTAGACATTGATAGGATGAATCCATAGTTTTCTTACTGCCCTCAATATTTTATTATCCAGTTAGATTTTTTTTTTAAAGTGATGGCCTAAAAAATAGCCTGATCCTGCATTTTTATTTTCAACACTCTTATCATCAGATAAAGAATGTCTATGCTACACAGAAGAGGAAAACTTACATTGACATCTGAAACAATTTCTGGGAGGGATGTTCCTTAAAAGAAAGTTCTTCTGAATTGTAAAGGAACTGAGAAGCAATCCCACCAATGAGGAAGCCACCTGGCTGGTACCACTGATGTGGAACAGGGAAGGGCTGAAGCACATGGCATTGATGGTCGTGTCCTTTGTTGCACCCAAGAGAGGAGAGAAGAAGCAATGCATATAGTCCCAACATCCTGACCATGAATTCTTCTGTCTAAATGTAGATTGTGACCATCCATAGCGTCTGCCTGCCCTCAGGAAGCTAAAATTATATAGCAGACGTCTCTGTGGTTACACATGTCCCTTTCTTTTAGCCACAACGAAGATGCAGAAGTCTATTAGAAGGCTATTTATAATGATCAGGGTTACTATTTCAAACCTGGAGAAAACTGGAAAATGGGGAATTCTGTTGGACAGAGTCCTTGTGGAACATTATCTTTCTTTTATCTCTCAATAATTGTTTATAACCACTTGTGGGTTTGACTCTTCACAGTTTCAGAAAAATCATTAGCTCTTTGGGCACATGAGATAATTATACAAATTTGAGTAATTACCTGGGGAGATAGTGACCTCTCTTCTGAGACTGAATGTTCCTGAATATATATATATATATATATTCCTTCAGATTACATTGTAAGGCACTTCTTATTTTCTAAATGGTCAAGAAATGCAGTTTTTCATGGTTTCCATGGAACATTAAGAAAAGTAGGACCTCATGTGGACCCATCAGCATGATTGGGGTCTAAAAGTCATACCAATGCCTCAGTATTGTCTGGATTACCTGTTACCACTTGCAAGTTTGATTACTCATAATTACTGGAAATCATTTGCTCTTGGTCAGCATGAAACAATTGTAATGATTTGGGTAATTGCTGAGGAAGATACTTGTGTCTTCTGAGTTTCAATCACCCTGAATTGCTTTTTTGGGGGAAAAAACAGTATATTGTTGTTTTCTTTGCTTCTGAGTACATTTCAAACTACCAGCTATGGTTAAGAATCCAGCTCCCATGTTACCCAGGAAGAAAAATAACAAGTTTAAACCTACTCTGCAAAGTTTGTATTTTTATTATTTTCTTTATTAATTTATTTAAATTGCAAAAAAAGAAAAAGAATACATAAAAGGGCCTTAACGTAAAAGTGAAACAACAGCAAAAGTTACAATAGCACACAGTTCTAATCTACATATATGTATCTAATACAATTATTATTCAAGTACATATGTATTTCTAATAGATTTATATGAATATCCTGGTTTTTTTTTTTAATCCAGTATATTTTGTATAAATGAGTCCCATATTTCATTATACAAAGTCGAGGTCTATAGGCAATCCACTCATAGGTAGCAAGTGTAATCAGGTCTTCAGTCCATTGACTAAAGGAAGCCATACATTGATCTTTCCAATCTTGCAATATCAGTCTTGGATCTTTTGGGCTTAAACCGCTACTTCCACTGCACAGAAATCTACCCAGGCAGTAAAGTCACACATTTCCAGAGGTAAAAGAAACTTTGTTTACACTGCCCTCATTTATTTTTGGATCAAATTCCCCACCGTCTTCAGGAGAAGGGCTTCGGGGTGTTGAATGATCCCAGCTTGTTTGCCGAGTGGGCTTGCATGGCTTCCTTTAGCAAAATGAGTTAACCAGGTTGTGTGAACATGGCCTAAAACTTTTAGGGTAAGAATCAGTCCCTATTAAAGGAACTCAAGCACCTGATCTTCAACCTGGCCTGTGCTCTTCTCTCTCAGGACGGGAGAAATCCGAGGAGCTACCCAGCGGGATGATGATCCAAGATGGCACGGAGAATCCATTTACGTTGTCCAGTTGCCAAGTTCCATGTCCTAGGTATATATTTCAAAAGAATATTATCCTCTGAAGATGGCTTTTATTGCACAATCATATTTATATAGTCCACTACTTTCTCCCAAAACTTAGTAAGTATCGGACATTGTAAAAATG